ACATATGTCAGGTAGAGTTTCCACAGATCAATGTTGAGAATTTTGACCAGACAACGCTGGAAGAGCTTCTCCACTCTCTCGTAGTATCGGCTGCGCATCTCCATTTCAATATAGAGCTTCCAGTAACGCGCTGTTGTGGGAAAAACATTCACCAGGGATTCGTAGAGGCTGCGTACCTCGTGAATGGGCCGAGTCTGTGCCTCGCGAAGCATCACGGACCACGATTCGATGTCGTATGGCCGCAGCTCGACGACTTGCTGGGCGCGCACCAATCGTTCCATACCCCATTCCTGCATAAATGTTGTTGCTGCATTAGTTTCAACTTAAATTGATTTATTTATCCACTTACTATATCAATTTTGATTAAATCCCTTGCAGATGTCATGGTGACAATTCAGATTTTTTTTTTAGATGCCGGCGTTTTGACTTACTTCGTTAGCTTGCTTCAATTGACACTATACACTATACAAATTTTTATTTCAGTAAAATGTTATCAAATTATTTTCTGTATGGCATATTTCCCTAATGGAAATATGTCAACATTTCCTACAATAATATAATGCGGCTTCCTAAAATCCTAAAACTAAGGTGTTGTAGTGCGCTGAACTAGTTCAGGTTGGTGAACTTTAATTTTGCCACAGCTACAAATGCGGTTAAATAATGAATTGATATATACAGCAATTTAATGATATATATTATTATGCCAACAAATGAAACAATAATATAAATATGTTATACAAAAAATTAAAAAAGTTTGATATCATGCAACCATACAAGTAGTACATATGAACCGAAAAAATGCTAAAATCTAGTGAGCTATAAGAAAAAGAACTAACGCAAATGCTCAAAATTGCGCAATATTTCGATAGTTGTTTCGATGTTTCGATAATTTTTATTACCTCTCTTTTTAAAAAATTAACCACCTCCAATTTACAATAGACATCGAATAAAATAAAAAGCATCGAATTTATTGTATAAGATTAACAGATTCAAATGCTGTTAAATTAATTATAGTTCACATGACAAAATATTTCCATACATTTTACGCAATATTTAAATGCTAATGTAGGCACATTAGGGAAACAGCTTGTTGGATTTCTTATGTGGCGGGAACTCAGAACGCACACGTTACAAAAATGTGATGCGCTGCCATACTGCTCGAGCAAATCTATCGGTTTGCATATAAAGTTGGAAGTGTATCGATTTCCAGCGATGCATCGAAAGAAAATATCAAATAACAAAACCAAACGAAACAATCAAGCGTGGCAATCAAACGAAACGAAACGCATTTAACTGCAGACATACAATGCAAATAAAAAATTAACTAAGAATAATTCAAAAAGTTAAATCTGAAAATTGCGGAACAGCCGTTAAATAAAAATGGCTGTGAACGTCAAGTGATAAATTAAAAAAATATTATGCACTAATTGCAAGTGACAGTTTTAACTGCCAAACGGATAAAGAGAGAGTGTACAGACACACATACACATACGTACAAACACATACAAACAAACAAACAAATACACACGGATACGACCAGCTGTTGTGTTGAACAACGACAAAAAGAGGTTAACAATAGCGGTACATTTATTTGCTTGGTAAGCAATCAATAAGGTTTATTTGCGCTTATTTGTTTTGCTATTACACATATATACACTTACTTATACATATCTAAATATATACATATATATTGTTACGCTTTCAATTGTTTCATTAATTATGCGATTGAAATGCATTTGAATAAATTATTCAATGGCTGCAATCATTGTTCATTTATGTCAAGTCCAACACCGAGTTGAAGTGCCCGCTGCCAGTTTCCTGTTGATGGATTTATGTGTGCCTAATTGTTGTTTTTGTTTGTGCTTGTGTGTGCTTGTTTCCTGCATAGCGCCCGCAGTTTATTGACCGTGCAAAGTAAAAAAAAAAAAAAAAAGAACATTAATACATACATACGTATGTGTATTAAGTGCGCACTGGCTGTCTTTGCCTGTGAGTGCCCGTGTGTGTGTGTTTGGGTGATAAGGCATAATAAGTGTGTCACACAGACACAGCGACTAAAACACGGCTTTTGTGTCAAAGTGGGGCAAAAACCTTTGCTGATTGTGATTGTATTTGCTTATGAACAAATACACGTAAAGTCAAATACGTACGTGTGTGTGAAAGGAAGAAAGCTCACGTATGCATGCCTAATACCAACACATACACACTGCCATGCACTTAGCTGTCAGTGTCATTTGACGAAACTTGCTCTCGCTCTCGCTCACTCTCAGGCGCGTTCACTTTCTTGCCTGTCTTGTCTCCTTGTTGCTCTCTATACTGGCTGCTCGTTGCACATGATGACAGCTTTTAACGGTTGTTTTAATTGTGTGCATAGTTTTAAGGCATTTAAGTGGCCATTGCCTACATTCAGGCGCAACATACGCCACCATAGACGTTTATGTATATACATATATGTATATATGTATGTATATTTGCATGCGCATGGATGTGTACGCATGTGGTTAGCGGCTTCTCATCTCCCCCTCCCACTTCCCCCAGCCAACACGCTTGTCAGTGCGAGCAAATAAACATGGCAATTACTCGCAATGGTTACAGCTACGCACACACCAACACACCCACTCACACACGCACACTTAACTAGCAGCGCCTCCTGGCGGATTTGTACGAAGAGCTTGGGGTTTTTCTTGTTGCTTTTTTTAACTGACCGCCCTACCGCCGCTCCACCGTTTTCGCCTGGTCGCCTCGTTAAGGGGCAGCGCAAATTGCTTTCAGTTTTTAATGGCTCGTCTGCAGCAATTACTCATATAATTTCCACAAAGTAGAACACTGCCGGTTCGCGACAGACGGGAAGAGGGGAGCGATGCCGGGGGCATGATTTCTTTGCTGATTGATTAACAAATCGCCAAACCGAAACTGGCAAACGACAGCTGAACAATAGAACGTGCCACACTGCCACATTGCCACGTTCAGCGGCTACATTGTTCACTTTATTTTCCACACACATACACACACTCACACACACATATATATATGTATATATACTTGAATGTCTGGAGCTTTTTGCATTGCATGCTTTCATATCATCATCGAAATCCTAAATTAATCATTCAATCGCATTAGTTGCCCTACAATTCTATATTGCTTATACGTACGAATGTATATATGGAGTACTCTAGCATGATGGGTCTTACTCAAGTGCTCACAGTCGTAATCAATCATTAAATGTTGACTTAAATATATATGTGAAGTCTTACATGTTAACTTTAGTGCTAGTTTGTGGACTAACAAAATGGTAAGAGTTTCGTTTAATACAACTGTTAAGAATTGTTTTCTATTTAGTCAAGTAAAATATTCTAATTGATCTTACTGTTAATAGTTATCAGAGAGTCTTCATGTTAGCTACATTTGATCAACAGACCATGTAAAGATATTTATAAGTAACTGTTAACATAAATGTAAGCCTACAGTCCATTGGAGATTATACTTTACGCGCTGTTAGCTATTCTAGAGTTAGAAATGGAAGTAAAATTCTTTAAATGCCAACACAATACTTTACTCAACTGTCAACAGCATTAAAGCAATTTAGTTAACCTCAAAAACTGAATGCTTCAACATATAAGAAGCGAATCATCATCATTTACAAAAAGTTATCAGAACTCATATTCGTATAAATATTGACGCAAGGCCCTAATGAAGCGCGAATGTAACACGCACAGAGCCGTTTCCTATTATACATATTTTACATATACATACATACAAATATATATACACGCATATATATACATAGTAATGTCTTTAAATTGTAATTAGAGTCGATTTTGAAATACCAAATGAAATTTCATACGCTTGTTATCAGCTGTTGGCTCAATTAAGTCGAGGCCAACGATTGATTGAAACGCCTGCCCGGGTTCGCGCACTTCAAAGTTCTCGGTCACAACACAAACATCATGCCTATATACACTTGTATATAGCAGATCGGGCATTAGCTAACGATTCATAGTAGCGCAACTGAAGTGCAGAATTGCCCAAACGTTAAATTTGCTTTTTATGTATAGCTGTTGTGTTTGTTGACAATATTTGTTTTGCATTTGAATAACATTGTTTGGCTTATTGTTGCTGACGCCAGTAACATGCAAATCGGCCCAGTGACGTGGTGGGGTCTATAGCGATTGGGATTGGAGGATGTACCAGTTACAATAGTTAACGACATGAAAACGACTAATTTGACTATTGGCAACAGCACAGGCTGAACACGCCCTAGACAACTGCTCGCATACCCAGTACTTGGACGAAGCACATCCCAGGAGTCTATCAACATTGCCAAGTCTTACGAATATCTAGTAAAACTATATATAGCTTTACTATATTTCAGTATCTGAAAGAAGTATTAATTAATATGAAGACTTCGGTTCTGTTAGTAGCATGTTCCGAAAACCGATCCATATGATTACTTGATTACTCTAAGTGAATCCAAACTAAAACATTATTATTGATTTTTCGATAACATCATCTAAATCGTTAATGAAAATCTATCGAGCTGAAATTCAACCAGGCCGAACAAACCTTATCGTACATTCATAAAGTGAAACTCAATTCCTGAGTTGTTTTTCCTTGTTGATGCAAAGGTCATTTGATTTCACATTTCGATAAATATCGATTGAAAACTATGCCTTGCTTATGAGCTTGTACTATGATTGTCGTATACATGTTAATATCAGGTTTACATAGTATCAAGTAGCCAAGCAATTACACCCCAAAGAAATTGTGGCCCGGGGCCGTCTGACTACTTGGCATGGAGGTTTACTCCAACCCAATCGCCCCATTGCCAACTGACGTGATAACAAATAACCGCAAATTGTTGCCAGACGGAAATACTGATTTTTGTTTTGTATCCAATCAATGTATAGACAAATGTTTGTACATAATTTCAAGGGACCCCCGCTCCAACCGTTGGAGCGTCAACCCCGCCGCTCCCACTCCTCCCCGAAAGCACTCTGAACTCCTGCTTGACTTAGGAAACTTAAGGCTATGATTAGTTGTTCCATCAATGTCAAGTCTGTAGTTGGCTTCGTTGCCTGCGACCAAACGGTTGAGCCCGCGCTCGATTCTCCATAGATTACATAGAAACACACAAACCTATATAGAGTGTAACAGTGTATAGCGCATAATTCATAGTTCCATGTCCGACTTGGGTGTTGTGGGTCAGCCGCTGCGCGTGGGCTGTAAATTTGAGCCTCGCCTGAGCATGCGACGCATCTACAACAAGAAGTGCTTTCGCGTCGAGCGCTATCAGCATGAGGTGGCCAATCATTATCGCGACATACAGCTGCAACAGAGCCCCACGTGGCAGCACAAACAGCAGCCAGGCGACCGTCCCCACTTGCCCCAGCCAAAGTATCGCCCACGCACTCGACTACGTCCGCTGGCTCCAATGACCGTCAGCACTTCTAGTGTCCAATTTCGTTGCGAACTACCCATCCATGTGCAATACTATCCCAGGTGTGTGTGTGTGTGTGTATGTGTATGTATGAGTGGCTATGTGTCTGCTGATGACATATAAAAATTGTGTAAGCGTGTAGCTTTTTAGACTCGTATAGCAAACTCTGGTGCTATCATAACCATGCGGCATTGCGATTGACGTGAAATTTCCGACACATCTTCAGCTTGAGTTTGCGCCACCCAACCCAACTATCCAAAGCGGCCAACAACCTCCCCCGCCCAACAGATCCGACCCTTGACCGGCTAGCCTGACGTCAGTGACAGCGACTTGATAAGGCATATTGTGTGGTTTTTTCGCTTAGTGGGCTCGCCAGTTAGTTGACAATTGCCCACTTGGGCTTTTCCGCATGCAAATGCAGATAGGGAAAAAATAGAACTTGCGCACATTCACTTGGGGGCTGTATCTAGCGGGATTATGTCATATATATTAAGCGTTAGGTCTCCTCAACTCTTATCAATTGGTTTTATATAGACAAATTATAAGGGAAATTCCCTGTTAACAATCCATCAGCTGGACTAATCAAAATACACCTACTAAACAGAGACAAGTGAGGAGAGAAACGCCCTTTTCTCCAGCCACATAAACTAGAGTTTATTTATTGACATTTAATTATACCCTGGGCTTGCATATAGCTAGAAAAGAACATAAAGTGTATCCCATAAAAACCGTGGAGGCTAGCATTGAGTAGGGAGGGGCAAAGATAATTTGGTTAGGGTAAAATGAATGTAAAGGAATATTATAATACCAGCTAATACAGGTATATTTAGTTAAGTATCAGTGATGGCTCAGACCGTCGACAAGAGACAGAACTGTATGGCTTGCCAATTGTATAAGTGTCAGAGTCAGCAACCAAGGACTAAGCAATAGATAATCACTGGTATTAAATGAAAGAAAACTAAATATATTAAGTATTACCTTACCAGACTGAGGCTTTAAGTCTTACGACCTAAGCCTCTCAGACCAGAGGTCTGCCTGGTGGCATCAGTTGAGTCATTTGACATATTTATTATTTGCTTAATTCACTGAGTTCAAATCTGTCTGGGTGCTATATTCCAGAAGGTATAGAGACATTGATTTTCTCGCAGCTGCTGGGATTTGGCATTGGCATTTCTTGTTCACGTAATCGCACGCAGAGCCAAAGAGCTTAGCTGGCGAATAAGCAAGTACAGTCCCATCAATCATATTGTTTTGCTTTCATTTTCATTTTCTATTGATTTTATGAAACAAGCAGCTTTAGCATTCAGCTGAGCCCCTTTGCACAAAGCTAATTCCGTCATGGGTTCACAACGAGTGCCGCATCATCAGAAAGGAAAAATACAAGAAAAAGGAGCTGCTTCCGCATCGCACTTAACCTAACTTGTTGACATTGCCTATATTAACGATAACGATAACGATAAGTAAATAATAGTCAAGTGGAGCTGGGCGGTGGAAATCGTTATTTGATTATATTAGAGCCAGACCGAGACCCATCAACTGACCCTCGGTGTGCACCTCGTTTTGCTTTATTATCATATTAGCCAGACCCTTTCACTGACCCCACTGGCCTCACCCTCCCACACTTTATTTACCTAGTTCATTGTTGTTTGCCTGTTTGCTTTGTGTTCGTACGAGTGAATACGTTTAATGCTTGGCATTGTTGTAATTAATGTTTACATCAGCCCCAGCCGCTAACCTGCTTGCCTAATTACAGATCGGGCATTACGTATGCGCCCCGTGGCCGGCAAACAATTTGCACGGCGTTGCCACCCGTCGAAATCTACAACGACACAGTGCAACGTATCAGAAGCGCCCAAAGCTGCGACCAACTGAAGGCGTTCGTTCATCGGCAGCTTAACTGACGCAGTGGCGCCGCCAAACGGGGCCGTATACCACCTGAAAGGGGCACGAGGACAAGAGACAATGATGGTAGCCAAGGCAGCGCACGCAGCAGCAGCAGTCGCAGCAGCAGCAGCAACAATTATGAGCAGCATGTACTAAATATTAATACGAGGGAAAGCCTACAACGGCAGCAGCAGCAGCAGCAGGCGAAGCAGAGGCAGCGACGTCGACGCATAGATCTGTACACGTATTTGCAGCTGGCGAGCAGCTACTACGAACGGGGGTTGCAAGCGAATATCAAGTACCTGCAATCGATTGGCCAACGTAATGCAATAAAGCAACAGCAACGGCAGCAGCAGTTGCAGTTACAGTCACAGCCACAGCAGCAGCAGCAGCAGCAACAGCGCCACAAGCAACGACGTCACTCATTGGAAGCCTGGCCGCGACGGCAGCAAGCAGCAGTCGAGCAGCCGCAACAGTTGAGCACGCTTTTGAATAGTTTGCAGCAGGGTGAGCGTTGCCAGACATCGGTGCAGGAGCAGGGCTCGAGCACCGACGCCATTCGAGTGCGTATAACGACCGGGCAACGCAACGTAACGGACATGTGCGATTTTGCCAGGCAGAGTGGTGAAGATAACAGCAACAATAAAAGCAGCAACAACAACAACAGCAGCAACAGCAGCAATAATAGTTTTCACGTGACGGCTATCGATCAACAGCAACAGCATCGAAAGCTGTATGAAATAATCGATAACTTGAGCCAACTGCGCTTGTGCGATAACAGTCTGCCGCTCATTACGCTTACCGACTGTACGCAACAGGTGGCGCTGTATGGCGGCAGCTTTGAAATAGCCGGCAGTTGCCCAATGCAAATACCCAACGAAGCCAGACCACCAACATAATAGAATACTCGAAAACATCGGCAGCAACAACACCAACAATAACAAGTGCAATTAGTTGCCAGAACAAACAACAAAGCAAACAAACAAACGAGCTGCAAAATATATTCTGGAACAAAGCAAAGCAGCGCGCACGTCATCGGAAATCATTTCGTTTCGTTTTTCATCAATTTGTATTTTGTTTTCTGCGTGTGTTTTTATGTGCAAACAACAACGAACCGCAACAGCGACAGCAGTTGTAGGCAGCTTATAACAAAAAGATATATATAAAACGGCTTTTAAGCCAAACTATTACGTATTACGAACAATGGTTGCGGCTGTTGCCGACGTACTAACAGCAGAAGCAGCAACAACAGCAACAGCAACAGCTACAGCAACTACAACGCCGACGTTAGCAGCAACAGCGACGTTAGAGAACGGCAATAGCAGCGACGTACAATTTGCAGCATTAACGGCCGCAAGTGCCAGCGGTTCACAAGCAGCGACCTCCAATTCAAATAGCAAGAATAACAACTGCAACAACAACAGCAACAACGGCAATCGCAACAGCATCAGTATTCATATTGATAAGCACGACGACAACAACAGCAGCAACAATATCAACAACACCAACACCAACGCCAACACCAAAAACAACAACAACATGTCCGATGCAAACGTTGCCGATGCCGCCAAAGCAACTGGCACAACAGCAACGCCAACAACGCCCACAACAACAGCAACAACAATAACAGCTGCAGCAACTACAAAAAGTGCCGTTAGCCAACGCAATGTGGACATCAAAATTGAAAAGTCAAGCAACATGGAAGCCGCCACACAGCAGCTAAGCAAAAAGGTGCTCAAACTCGATTTGGGCGCCAAAAATTTGGATGAATATTCGCTGAAATCGCCAAAATCCCCCATTGCAGGTAAGTTTCATATGTGTGCATAAACGAAAATAAAAGACAACAACAAAAAGCGAGCCCAGCCCCACCTAATGGACAGATAAGTTCTCAGTAAAAAACAAATATATACATATACATATACCAAAAAAAAGAAATAGTAATAAAAAAACAAACAAACAAACAAATAAACAGGGTAGCCCAGCCCAATAGAAAATGAATTTTAAATACGCACATGAGCAACAAGCTGTACAGTGAACACTGCGTAAGCTGAATTAAATAACTAAAGTGTAAAGTTTCTGGTGCATCTTATCAGGCAGTAGAGAAGATCTCTGAAAATCAGAAATATAAATTGAAAGTAAGTCTGAAAACATATCAATTTTCCAGTTACAGTAAAAGCAGCTTATATATTTATGATACCTTAAATAAAACCTGTCCAAAAACTCTTTAAAAAAAAATCGCTGAATGCTATAAATATGGATTTATAGCCCAGAAAACTTCTAATTACAAAGCCAATTCTTAACTTTTTCTTAGACTTTTTTATGTGCCTTGTAAAGTTCATGTTAAAGAAGACACAGTCATCAGTTGAACCTTGTAAGAGTCCAAGTAAATGTTAGCTTTATAGAAGTATTTCAAACATTGATCTAGAATTTAGAATTATATATCGATAATTAGTAAACTACAATTGCCGAAAATCTATAGATTGCTTTTTTAAGCAAATTTGTTATGAGATGACATAGTAGTAGAGAACAGTTACAACTACAATAGGAACAACTACAATAGCTGTGCCTTGTACTAACGGAAATAAAAGCATCGGCTCATACATAAACTATATAAATACCTACTCACAGTGTATAGCTATTGGATATCATATACATACATACCTCTATATATGTACATATGCCTAATTCAATGGGAGCCGATTGCAAAGCATTTCAATTAATTGTGCCGCTTGAAATTGCTTTTAGCCAGTTGCTACTGTAGCTGAAGGGAGGGTACTCGAATGTCATGCGGCTTGAATTGATATTTCCATGAAAACTGATCTAAAACAAACAAACACACACACACATATATGATATAAGCACACACACATATACATATGCTATATATAAATATGCTGTTTATATATATGTATTTCCGTATAACTACGTCTGGCCACAAGCCGCATGCGAAAATTAATCTGAGCTACAGAAGCCTCAACTTGAGGTCTTTCGGTTAACTACAAACTGTAGACAGTGTCCATTTATGTATTTATTAATTTGGATACCCTGCAAGCCATAGCACGCTGAGCACATCGTTACTGGCTGATTGAATGTGACAGTTGGAGAAAATTTAAGGCGTAAAAAATATTTATTTATTTCAATTTCAATTAAGTTTTATAGCTGAACAGTGAATGAAGGTTAAATGATGAATATATGTATGTGCACATATACATATGGATAAATATCAATTTATCTGTATTGTTTACAATATAACTGGAAGTCTTGAAAAGCTGCCTATGCCAACATTGGCTTGTGATCTAGATCCAAATCAACATTGTACCAGAAAACATAAGCAAATCGATAATTATCGATTGAAGGTTAATAGGTTTGTTAAATATAAGAGAGAGAAAGAGGAAGAGAGAGAGATAGAGAGAGAGGGAAGACTACACTTGTTCAATGATTAAGCTGAAGTATAGAAATATATTTTAAAATATATACTTTTACTATCGGTAAAAATCGATGTATTGATTTTGATTGCTGAAACTGTGCTGAAAGTTCGCATGGCTAAAGATACCAATAGGTTAGCTCATAGCAGCTACCTAAGTATATACAGCTCTGGAGCTCTGCTTCATATACATTTCAAGATTGGCATTAAGCGTAGCTCGAAGATTATTAGAGTCCTATAAAATCATATCAAACTAGAAATTTAGACTCATGTGATATAACTTATTGTTGAGCCCGCCTAAGAAGCTCAGAGTAGAGTCTTTTATCAACACAAATTCAATTGCTTAAGACAGCAATAGGGAAATACTTAGCAAATAGATCTAATTATGGGTAACTATTAATCGGGCACTGCCGGCTAGATCAAGCTCACGCTTGTTTTAACGATTGTGTTGCCTTATCGCAATTATTATTACTAATATAAAAATGATGATGATGATTTATTCACAGCACGTTTGCCGCATCAAACATCATTGACGTCATCGGTGGACGTTGAGGATCGCAAGACATTACGAGAGGCCTTATATCAGGGTATATTCCATCGACATCGCCGCACCATATTCGCGGTGGGCAGCTTTCTGCGAATGCTACGAAGCCGTAACTCCCAGTACAATACCATTCGAAGCTCGTCGGAGGGCGAGGATATCGATGAGGTTAGATAAGAATATATATATATATATGTGTATTTTAAAATATATATATGTATATATACATATATACTATTATAATGCAATATGCATAATCATGCCTAATCTGTCATGCATCATAATGTGTAGTGTAACGGCCAGAGACAACAACTAAACACAACTACAACAACTATAACAACAGCAACAACAACCACTTGAACATCATGAATAACAACAACAACGACAATCTGGATTATTATTATGGAATCTGCTTTTTAGATGGAACGTAGTGCCAGCCAATCGCAGATCATGTCGTTCTCCATTTTCGTCAATATTCATCTTTTTTTTTTTTTTAATGTAATAATATACGTATATGATATGGGATGAGGGTGGGGGCTGACTGATCCATGATTGATCCCTGCAGAGCACCGCCCGTCTTTTTTTTTTTTTTTTTTTTTTTGTACTTAGCAAATATATATTCACATTACATTAGTGCATATATAGCTAAAAAGTCTTTCATTTCTTATAAGCATCGATCTGTCATTACATTCCCCTATTCGTATGTCCTACATTGTATACAGAAACCTGCGAACCAATATTGCTCCAAACGATAATTTTGTAAACTACAAGCCATTACAAAATTTTGAATAGATCTTTTTAGTTTTAAGTATAAATGAAAAAAAAAAAAAAATTTAATTTTAATTAATATTTTTTTTTAAGTTAAACTTTTGTGCCTAAACTTATTTAAAATTATTAAGCATGTTTTTCTTTTTTTTTTAACAAAAAAAAAAATATTCATATATGTATGTCTATTAAAATTACTCGAAATATCAGACTTGAAAGCCAAAAAAGGGTTCGCAGGGGCAGCTGTACTTAATTTAAGACACAATTCATCGTCATTCCACGCCTCCTCATTTTAGAAGTACTTGTTAAACCAAAGTAAGGCAAGATCGAAAAGAAGCAAAAAAAAAATATATAAATATAAAATAAATAAAAATCAGCCCAAAAAAAAAAAAAAAGAAGCAACCATAAGACTAGCCACAAAATGTTGTGTTTAGCATTTAGACAGAGAAAAAAAATTAACGTGCGACAATTTTATTGTGAAATGCCATATTAGTTTGCACCTAATTATAAAAAAAAAAAAAAATTATATATATATATACATGTACATATATAAGTATATATATGGATATATATACATAGAGCATGCGAGAGTTGTTTGAAGACTTAGTTCTGTAACTTATCAGACTGCCCTCGCATGTTGCATTCAAGCATTCCAAATCTACATCAAATCAAAGAGCTTCAGAGTTCACATCGATCCCCATTCCTCATTCAACTCCTTTGCCTTTTTCAACCCTTTCTGCAAGCAAACGGATCTGAAAGACGCCTTATATTAAAAAAAAAAATAAATAAATACAAATAAAAAACCATAAAAAAAAATACAACAAAAACAATTACAAATAAAATTATAAAAGAAAAAATAATAGTTAATTCTAGTATTTAGAATCTTTTTTTTATGAAGTAAGCTAAAATGTGAAACTTGAGCTAAATGGAGCGTTAATATCTATGTACTATATGTATGTAATACTGTAATACTGTCGAAATGAAAAAAGAAAACACAAATCTGTTATACCGTACAACTGTAATATTGTCTGTAACTGTAAACTCGATATCAATTCGATTGCCATCGATAAATTAGCTTAGAAAATTTGCAGAGAGCTAGAGCACGAAATTTTATAATTTTTGTTTTTTTTTTTTTTTTCAATTATATATGCATACATACATATATGTATAGTCAGTCTGATCATATCTGCCCAAGCACATATCTTTAGCTTTTTTTCACAGAGGCTTGTATAGGCAAGCTTAGATCAAATTTCCATTTCCATTCATCATATAATTTATAGACTTAACCTAAAACTTTGCCTTTCATTATTTTGGTACAGTTGCTACCTGTTTCCTCTTGCCAGAGTTGCCACACATACATCGAAGCAATAGACCAAATAGACCAATTCTAGTATTACTAGATCACACGCCTAACCAGACCAAAGCAAAAATGAACAACAATTTCTGGCTTTCTATAGCGAAAGTGGACCAAAAAAAAATAGAACATATAGAATATAGCAAGCAATAGAACTCAAATTTGCTTAAATATAAAATAGTATTAGGATTTTTTTTTCCATTATTATAATTATAATTTGTAGCTTAGTGTAATGCTCTCTGTAAGTATATTTCGGCATCGGCTAGCCAGATGTTAGCTTTGTTTTTTAATTAGATTCTACTAATTTGTGTTTGTTGAATATTAAAGTCGGTTTTCATTGCAAAAGGGAACAAAACAAATATTGAGAGAAAAACATAAAATAATAAATCAATGTAAACTTTTATGCAACAAGTTGATATACACATGATATGTATAGAGATATACGTATATTTATAGCTCTACATATGTATGTGTTTCAAAGCAAATGAAAGAGAGAAGCCTAGTTATAGTTCCACAGAAACTAATGTATACCTCTTGATTTGCAGTAAACAAGCTATACGTGCGTCTAAGTATCTTTGATATGATATATGATATATGATACATATATACACACACATGTGTATGTGTATGTGTGTGTATATGTATTTTAGAGCATTTTTGTTTAGTGCTAGAGAAAATTTAATGTTTAAAGAGATTTTGTACAGCGATCTATACACATACATATATATATACCCCATGTATACCCTATAAATAACACACACCCCAGACAAAACAAAAATTAAACTGTTGGAAATTGTTTGATAATTACAAATTTCATATGCTACATAGTTTATATATATATATATATTATTACATTATTCATTATTATTATTATTATTATTTTTTTTTTTTTTTTCGAATAAAAATCCAAAGAAATTGCATTTGATTTTGGTATTTTTTACTATCCTCTTCTTCTTCGACTTTTTCCAGTTTCTCAAGTCGCGTCGTCTTTTTAAGCTGCCTCATCTCTTCGATCGCTAACGATCGCAACGAACCACGCAGACTCTCGGATATATCGAACTGCATGCCTAACCTATAAGAAAAATGCATACATATATATTTATTATAACTGAAGCATATAATAAACTTTATATCGGGCAATGAAAACGAAGTTAATGAACTTACCCGGTCGCAACCAAGCTGGCAGCACAGGCATTGGAAGTTGTCCTCCAGCTGCTAGAGGATTAGTGGCTTGACCCAAACTTGATATGAACTGAAAATTTGTCAAAAAGTTTCATCTTAATTCAAAAAAAAAAACTACTAAATCTAAGTCTAACCTAGCCTTCCTAGCAACGTTCATATATACATATACATATAAGTATATACATATATAGATATATGTATATGTACATAGAGCATGCAAGAGTTGTGTGAAGACTTGGCAGACAAAACCTGACTTAGTTCTGTAACTTAACAGACTGCCCTCGCATGTTGCATTCAAATTTTACTTAGCCGTACTGAACTCAACAATAGTGACGTTCGTATCCAATGCTATCTGATAACGGTAAGTATGTGACTCAAATTTGACAGTAGTCAACCAGAGCACAACACTAACTATGGTTAGTGGTGGCACAAATCAGAGCTCTTAGTGATGTCAAATTTTAACAGTCTGTCAACAAAACTGAATGCAATGAAAAAGGTTCTTTTAACAGTGGCTGTTAGCTAAGTAAAAATGTTAGCTTTCTGTTGAGTCTATCATGCTGTAGCTGAACATTCCTTGGCAGTCCAACTCACCTGTTGTGGACTGGCGTCCACCACGTAGGTGCCATCGTTGATCGCCTTTTGAATGGTGGCCCGAAGAGCAGCGACTTCCTCAATCTTTTGCGGCGTCACATTCACCTTGGCCGCCTGCGCAGAGGGCAGCAAATCGGGCCGCATTAGCCACACCGGCTGCACCACCTGGCGACGCAGCCTAGCAGCAGAAACCAAGGATTGATCGCTGCAGCAGCTGCTGCAGCAGATTGTAAAAATGATAATGATGGTACGCGCGCGCATTTCGGACTATTTCGAGCTGCAGTCGAGTTGCAGCATTTAAAATACAAAACTGATGTGCATTTTGATGAGGAAGTAATATTGTTGCTTGTATTTCAGTGTTGGCAGTTGAGCACACGCTAAAACGTGCCGCAAGTAGAACAATATATAAAACAAAACTGGACAAAACACAAAAGGTGGATAAAATAAACAATTTCGGCTGTGAGTGTGTGTGTGTGTGATAATTGGGTGCGACATTTGGGCCAAAAAATTATTCAATATGTATACATATGTTGTTTCAGTTTTTAGTTTGTTTTGTATACAAACGAACTTAGTTTAAGAATAGAGTGCATATAAAGACAGACACAGACATAGACAGAGAGAGAGAGAGAGAGAGAGAGAGAGAGAGAGCCAGCAAGCAATCATTGTAGTAACTCTTCTCTTTCAGATTTGCGCAGTCGTCAGATCGGCAGCTGAATCTAGCGGCTCGTCTTTGATATGCACATCATCATCCTCCTGGTCCTCCTTGCTGTTCTCGTGCAACAGCACATATTCCCGCGAGCTAAAGCCAAACTTGATGACATCCTTTTCCATTAGCTCATAGTATTTGCGTGAATCGATTTTCTTATTGTTGAGAAACGTGCCGTTTGCTGAGTCCAGGTCAATAAGATAGAGGCGCACCCGTTTGCCTGTGCTGCCGTCGTCGCGCTCGAAGGGCACCAGGCGATATTGCAGAGCCGCATGCTGCTTGCTGCAACTGGGATGATCGACAGCCAAATCGACTACCTTGCGATCGCGTCCCACCAGAAAACAGCTCTGCCTATGTATGTGCAATGTGGGCAGCGCCGTTTCTCCTTTGAATGGATATAGACGCCACAGACGCTTCGGTTTACGTGCCTCGGGTGGCTCTGAGTATTTAACAACAACACCGTTCACTTTATTCGTATCTTCAGTCAGGGCACCGCTTAGTCCAAAATTGGGTTTCTCCTTATCAATGGGTTCGGCTTCATTGGATGCCGGCGGCTTGTCCTTGTCGCTCGGCTTGCCCCATTCGAAATGCTCGTCGTCGCGATTGCGATTATCATTGCGTGATCGTTGTTGCTGTCGCCGTGGTCCACCTGCGCCGCCTCTGTAGCCACGATCCCTCGGACTACGACTGCGACTGTGACTCCTGCTGCGACTGCAATGGTCAGAAGTCAAGCTTAGACTGTCGACCCTATAGCAATAAAACTCATTTACTTACCGACGTCCATCGGCGGACGAGCGACGTGGTCGTTCTCCCCTTCGCTCATTACTACGCGTACGCTGCTGCGGCTGCTGGCGGCGATCCTTGCTGCGCTCTCGATCTCGTCCTCGCTCTCTGTCCCGTTCCCGTTCCCTCTCACGACCGCGTCGCATTTGATTGTCACGCTCACGATCTCGTTCTCTATCCCGCTCCCTATCTCGCTCTCTTTCCCTATCTCTGTCCCTTTCACGCACGCGCTCTCGCTCACGCTCGCCATCGCGACTGCGACTACGTTTGCGACTCTTGTTTATGTTTTTGCTGGAACTATGGCGCTCTGGACTATCCCATTTGGAACGCTGCTCTTGCACTTTATTCTCCAGTGTAACGGGCTCTCGTTGCTGTTGTTGTTGTTGCTGCTGTGGCTGTTTCTCCTTTGCGTCTTTGCTCAGCTTAGATTTTTTGGCGCGTTTATTTTCATGGGAGGATTTGGAAGAGTCGCTGCTACTACTGCTGCTGCTGCTGCCACTGTTACTACTGCTGCTACCGCTGCTGTCTGAGGAGCTCGAGCTAGAGCTATCGCGCGTTCTTCTTTGCTTACGCGTTTTGCTCTTTTTCCGGCTTGCCGCATCCCCACGCTTCTTAATGGTCTTTGATTTTGCGGACTTGTTTGTGGTGTCGTCATCGTTGCTGTTTGAGTGTACTTCATTATCGCTGCGCGCGGCACGCTCCTTGCTACGCGCCTTGCCTACTTTCACCATATTGACTACGAAAATACCCTAATGCGGCTTATCATTCGAAAAAAAATAACAAACACATTAGAAATTATGCTAGCGATGGCACTCTGCTAATAGGCGGCTCTTAACAGCTGTTTTGTAGTCGACACATTTAGCGCTGAGTCGATGATTATTCGAACGTTTTGTCATCGACTACACGCTTATGACAAATTTATATATGTATTCGTAGTTAATTAGTATCCCTGTTACATTATAATCTGGTTATTATATCGTGTTATTACGTAGCTCATTTCCTAATTTTTTTTTCAAATCTAAATTTAACATTCAAACAAACCCATTACTAGTTTTTAATTTCGATAATTTTGTCTGTTAATATCAGCAACTTAGGCGATGTTAACGGCTGTTTTATTGTTATCGATAGCTAGCCACCGATAAGTGCCTACACTCATCTCAACTTCACTAATTCTTGCAACTAGAAAACATTGACAAATTGCGACAACATAATTGGATTAACAAAGCAGCCGGAATCCTTGCACGTACTTATTTTATAATAAGACGCTTGCCTACTTCGGAGAAATTCAGATGCCAAAGAGTACTGTGCATGGTCAGACAATAAAAAAACGGTACCCAACGAGTACCAAACAAAAAACCTCCGAACAAATAATCCCACACACAGAAGCAAGAGAGGAAGAATCATTTGTTAAGCAGAGTCGCCGAAATTGCAAGCTCTTGCCAAAAAATTAAACAAGCAAACAATAGTACAAAGTAGGTACTCAATATTATCAGTCCACAGCTTATTTTAATAAAGCTATTAATTATCCTTTAAATTCTCTGTAATTTATTAGTAGTTTATTAATATATAAACAAACTAAAAAGAAAAGCAGCACTCACACACCCGCACGTATACAAACACACACACGCGTACACATACGCACACAACAAAATTTATTTAGTTATACAAGAATGAGCAGCCAGGGGCATCACAAAATGCATGGTGGAATCGGATGCAATAGTATGGCAACACTGGCCAATGACAACACCAGTACAGATACTACCACAATAACGGAATACACAGATGAAGTAGATCTGGGGGACCGTTTCTCAGCAGATATAGCCCGGCTCTGCATGAACGAACGTTATGCCGACGTCGAGTTCCTTGTAGAGGAACAACAGTTGCCAGCACATAGAGCCATATTGGCAGCACGAAGCGATTATTTTCGTGCCCTACTCTATGGAGGCATGTCGGAGGCGTCACAGCGACAAATTGCAATGGAAGTGCCGCTGGAGCCGTTTAAAGTGCTTTTGCGTTACATTTACTCCGGCACCCTGTCGTTATCCAGCTTGGATGAAGACGCTATCATCGGTGTGCTAGGCATGGCCAATCAGTACGGGTTTCAGGATCTGGAAATGGCCATATCGAAATATCTACGTAGATATTTGGCTTTGAACAATGTCTGCATGATTTTGGATGCAGCACGGCTCTACAATCTCGAGGAACTCACACAGGTCTGTCTCATGTTTATGGATCGCAATGCCGTCGATCTGCTGCAGCACGATAGCTTCAAAATGCTCTCAAGGGTGAGCGACAAGCAACAACAATTGACATCCTCTATCTAATACAAAATTTCCCATAGGAATCGTTAGAGGAAATACTGCGTCGTGATTGCTTCTTTGCGCCAGAGGTGCAAATATTTTTAGCCGTCTGGAAATGGAGTCGCTATAATCCGAATATTGATATCAAGACGGTTGTCTCCTTGGTGCGGCTGCCACTCATGAATCTGGAGCATTTGCTACAAGTTGTCCGCCCATCTGGAATTTTGGATCCAGATAAAATTCTGGATGCCATCGATGAACTGAGCACCTCCAAGACTTTGCCCTATCGTGCAGCCCTCTGGCCGGAGGAGAATGTGGCAACAGCCAAATTTTCAGCACATTGCATTCATGGCGAATGCCGTTCGTCTTTGTTAGATGGCGACGTCACCTCGTATGACATGGAGCACGGTTATACCCGCCACTGCATCACAGATAGCAGCGATACGGGCATTGTAGTTGAGCTGGGCACCATGTGCATGATCAATCATATACGCATGCTGCTCTGGGATCGCGATAGTCGCGCTTACTCCTACTTTGTAGAGGTGTCCGGCAATCAACAGCACTGGGAACGCGTGATTGATTACAGCGAATACCATTGCCGTTCCTGGCAGTTTCTATACTTTGAGGCACGTCCACTGCGCTACATACGTATTGTGGGCACACAGAATACAGTGAATCGGGTGAGCTGTTATTGTTGCATTGTTTGGCATTCAAAATTTCTTTACAAATGGATTTCAGGTATTCCACGTGGTTGGCCTAGAGGCCATGCACACAACGAATTTTCCCAAAATCGTTGATGGCTTTGTTGCGCCCAAGGCGAATGTGGCCACCATTGATATGAGCGCCATTGTCACCGACGGAGTTAGCCGCACACGGAATGCATTGATTAACGGCGACTTCTCGCGCTACGATTGGGACTCGGGCTATACATGCCATCAGCTGGGCAGCGGCGAGATTGTTGTGCGTCTGGGTCAACCATATTATATCGGATCGATGCGTTTGCTGTTGTGGGATTGCGATGATCGTACCTATAGTTTCTACATTGAGACATCAACGAATCGCAAGAATTGGCAGATGGTCGTCGATAAGCGGAACGAGAAGGCGCGCTCCTGGCAAAACTTTCATTTCACACCACGACCCATTGTCTTCATACGAATCGTGGGCACTCGTAATACGGCAAATGAGGCGCGTCCAACAAAAGTTGAGAATACTTAAGGTAAAGATTAATGAATGTATACTTCACAGATATTCCATTGCGTGCACCTGGAATGCCCCAGTCAGGACAAGAGCTTTTTGAAAAAGATAGCTGAACAGGAAAAGGAGCGCGAACGTGCAGAGACTTTTGAGCAGCAACTAAAAGCAGACGATGACATTGCGAGTACGTCCCGTGCGGCTGCGGCGTTGTCTTTGTCGGTCACCCTAACAGCTGCCAGTCCAAATAGCATGACACACTGGTCACGCCTTTCAGCAGTCAACACCAATTCCTCCGCTACAAGTCTGTCAAGCGGCATGGACTTGCATTGCGAATCTTTTGACAATCTGTCCACATCGGCCACAGGATCCGCAACGACAACGCCATCAACGCCAACAACCAGCACACTGATGGCTGAGCTATCACATCTCTCTCCTAGATCACTATCTCCACCAAAACAGCAGCGTGAAAAGCCGAGGGAAAAGGAGCTGGGACGGGAGACCGAGCAGGAACGAGGTAGTGAGGAGCCTGCAGCATCGCTCGTTCAGCTGGTCTTAGAAGACGTTAAGCAACCAGCATCGACATCGGCAAATGAAAAGTAAAAACTGGGATTTTTTTTTTTTTTAATACAGATATACACATATATCTCAACTCAAAATACTCCTGTGGTCAAAAGAGCTGTTAATTACTTAAATTTGTACAAGCAAGCACTTACCAATTATTTATCACAAGCTATTCAATTTAACTGTAAGCAATAGCTATAATTAATACAAATACTACAAGTATGTACAAGTATGTATTTAAGTATACATGTATATATCAATTTATATGTGCATACACATATAGACTTGAATATATATGTGGGTATGAGTACATATGCACTTATTCACATATATATATATGTATATAGATATCAATCATGATAAAAGACAGCAAACCTCAACATATGGCATCATCCAAGTACCCTTCCAATCACAATTGACAATTGCTTGTACAAATGACTATTCCTTATAAACATATTTATTCTAAATAATTTCGTTGATGCGGTTTTGTTGGAATGCTTGCGCATTGCGTTTAATCCAAAAACTAAAATACAAAAAAAAAAAAGGATTGATGTCTGGTTCATTCTGTCTGAAACGTACTATTTATTAACAACATAAATATTTTGTTACATTTGTGTGAAGCACGCAATAAATTTATAACAGGCATGTTTTTTCAAATTGTTTCTTTTTTATTTAAAACGAAAGGGAAATTTTTTTCAATCGAAAAATTTTTTAAATTCAGCTATAACCGGCGATAGCTTAGTGCAGTATCGATAATTCCAGGGCAATGCAATGACACGATAGTCGTTGATCAACACTAGGTGCTCGATAGCCTGTACATAAAGTCGATAAGTTGCCTTAAGTACTTATTGGCATTTAAGCGCTCATAAATTTGTTCATTTACCATATTTATTGCGGCCATGAGCGACATGGTGCCATCGCTGCCATTTCCCATGCATCCCAAAATGCATGAGGATCAGACACTGGCATTTACCGCCAAAGAGGACGAGGAGGAACGGCGCCACATACAGAAAGTGCAGAATGCCTTTCAGTACTACAGGTGGGTCTTCATGCAATTGTAAACAAACGGTATAAATGCCCAAAGTGCCAATGCAAATTACCCGCACACTCACACACTCAAAACATGGGGAGAAGTGTACATGAATGTGCATGTTTAACAGCTGATAACGAAAATCAATTTAAGCGGTTTGACATGTGCCAACGTACGTACGTGTGTGTGTGTGTGTGTGTGTGTGTTTGTGTGCTTACATGTGTATGTAGAACATCTGCTCTAATCATCAACTTTACTACCACCCGCATTACAAAATAGACGTTACGCCTACATAAGGGTTAACAAAACGGAAGCTTACCTGAACAGCTTGTCCGCTGAAGATCAGCGCCTGCTCAGCAAATATCGTTCGCATTTGGACAACGTGCGGAGCTGCATCGACTGCAATCAATCTGTGATCTGTGAGATCTTGCGCGATCGCGTTCTCTATCCCACAAGCGATGGCGACACGGACATAGAGCTGGATGAGGCGCCCGACCATGTGCGACATGGTGACATGGATCAAGTGAGTGTTGTTCCAAAATCTATAGCTTCTCTAATTGCATGTCTATATCTACTCTTCTTCTGCCTATGCACAGTGGTACAAAAACAGATTTAGGCCATCCATTAGACTAGTTTTTTAGCTTATTCTCTAAAGGGTCTTTGGGCTATGTATACATATTACAAGGCTAGGCAATCGGCTCAAATTTAGAAATCATATACATATGTACATATGTATATCATATCGTATATTTTCATATTCAGTAATTATAGATTTTTTTTCTTAGAGAAGACTGTAATATACATATTTTCATAGTAGAAAATTGTCTACATGTATCTCAAAAATATTAATGAAGTATATTTAAAAATTGATTTATTGATAAATATTACTTATCGATCAGATTCTATATAAATATGAACATTTTCACACAGCGTATAGAAGATAGATCCATAGGCAGAAATCATCTTCGTATATTTTATATAAAATGCTCTCAATAAATTCGAGTTTAGAGTTGTCTTTTGGAATAGACTAGATCTGATAGATAAGATTATCATACTTGGTTTACTATTTTGAAGACAGGCATAATATATAATAATATTTGATATGATACCTTCCCCTCTTGAATATGTCCTTCAGAGAGCAACAGAGCCTAACCACACGCATTGATTGACAATTTGCATTTTTTTGGTTTTTATTAAAGAAATAAACGATAAACTGTACACAACAAAATCTATCTATATCTTAGACTAATTTTCTTGTTGATGGTCATGATGATGATGTTGTTGTTGCTGATGATGTTGATGTTGAACCTCTAAAAATTTTAAAGGCCCAATCCACATTGAAGCTGATCGCACGTGACTGGAGCGCCGAATGTGCCATAGAACGTGAGCAATCCTACAAGCCGATCATCGACAGCATCGAGGAGTATTACAAGCCATCCGATTAGTGAGTATTCGCTATGATAATTGTAGATGATACAAATGTTTTATATATAGGAAATGTTAACTGGTTGAGTCAGCCCTCTACAATAATAGTAATAGTATAGGTAGTTTAGTGATGATATAGTTTTATACATTCATATATAAATCTCTCTCTGTCTCTCTCGTCCCTACAGTAAACTGAATGAGATTAAGATCCTGGTGCCTGGCGCTGGCCTGGGCAGGCTCACCTATGAGCTGGCCTGCCGTGGCTACGCCTGCGAGGGCAACGAGTTCTCCTACTTCATGCTGATCGCATCCAATTTCGTGCTCAATCTGTGCGACTACGAGAACAAGCACGTGCTCTATCCCTGGGTGCATCAGTACGTGAACAATATGCGACGCGCCGATCAGGTGGCCTCTGTGCGCTTCCCCGACGTGTGCCCGGTCAGGAATCCTCCCAAGGGCAATATTGAGATGGCAGCCGGAGATTTTCTGGAGGTCTATAAATCGCCGAATGCATACAATTGTGTGGCAACATGTTTCTTTATCGATTGTGCCAACAATGTTATCGATTTTGTACGCACAATTTACAAGTGAGTTGATGAGCCCTGTTGTTGAAATCTTAAAGGGTTTAACAAAGGTCTACAAGTCTGAAAAGCTGACTCGATTGATTGACTAATCGTTTGATTCATCAGTTCTGCAAAGGTTTCGGAACAATACAATTAATTGATCGATTAAGGAATTACTCGATTGACTCATCTGCTCGCCCATAGAAACATGGCATGAGACATAGACCTTAAATAGAGCAAATTTTTTACCTTTTGTGTAACTTCCGATTTGTTATATCAATTTTGATGAAGTTCAGCTAGATCTTTGTGAATAGCTTAAGAACCCCTATTGATACTTTTGTATATTTCTTCCTGCAGGATTCTAGTGCCTGGCGGCATTTGGGTGAATCTGGGACCGCTGCTCTACCACTACAGCGACATCAATGGCCAGAACAGCATTGAGCCAACGTACGAGGATCTGATCATCATTATGGAGAGCATCGGATTTGACATATTGAGCTCGCGCAGTGGTATACGCACCAAATACGCACAGAATCCGCAGTCGATGAAGCAAAGCGAATATCAGAGCTTGTTCTGGGTCTGTCGCAAGCCGCCCAAAGACTACATGAAAGCACAGCAAACGTCGGAGGCGAGGGAGCGCGACAACAAGGAGCCCCCGGATCTGATTGTCAACCAAAGCAGCGACCACGATGTCGATCTAGAGACTGAGGTGCAACCAAAGCAAACGTGATATCACACACACAGACACATCTGACGAAACATCAACAGCCACGCCCACCGCGCCTACAAATATATATATATATATATATATATATATATATAGTATATAACGAGAAAACTACACAAAAGTAGCACAAATAATAATAAAAAATCAGTCAACGAATTTCAAGTGCAAGACCAAAAAACAAAACATAATCTAATATTTAAAAGAAGCAGCAGCTGAGCCGGATTTATAGAACTGTACTAGATATATAACTATAGCTAGAATCTCTACTTCATGCAATCTGTGTAAGCCTTACAAATTTATTCAAAATGTATTCTAAATTAATGATGATATGGAAGTATTTACAAAAGTTTATATATATATGAGCTGACCTGTTCAATCTACTTAAATACCAACTGTAAATCCTTCTATGTCTGACTCCAAAGAGTTCGTTAAATTTATTAAACATACACGTTCTGATTAATATTCTTTAGTTCTTTTGATCTGATCTTGTGTAGGTATTCACTTTTCCATTATATGACTAAATTTTAATACCTCTACACAGCCCACCAGAAATAGCAGTCATACGCTTAATTTAGTTAGTATTTATATATAAATCGATAATTATCGATACATGTACTCTATGTGTATATGCGAGTATATACAAATGATACATCTAACATATATGTAAGTATGTCTAGTAGTCGTAAATGAATGCAGCTCTCTCTTTCTGTCTCCTTCTCCGTCTCTGTTCCTGTCTCTTTCTGTTGCCTGCTCATGCCATCCCGCGCTAATACATGAGCCAATTACAGTTCAGGTAGATTCGCTGCGCCAATTGGAGTCGGGTCGCCACTTGGGCCGCAGTTCGAGATGACACAGCTTGATCTCCGCAAAGATCTGCTCGAAGTGCTGGCCGTCCGTGGCACAGATCTTCGCCGTCTCGGTGAACAGCTCGTACCAAAGCGACTCCGAAAAGTCGTTGCTCTGGCACATGGACGTACGCACGGTAGTGAACACACGATCACGGAATTGACGAACCACCTCCGACGCAGCCGCATGGTGGGCAACAGCCGCATTGCCGCTCAGCTCGGGAAGGAGAAAGCTGTTGAGGACACGCGCCTCGCCGCGCCCCCGGTGGATGGGCAGTCCAGTGCTCTCGAAGAGCAGCGCCAGCTGCTTGTCCAGCTGGTCGCGTCGAGCCGGCTCATAATCCTGGCGCTTGGCGCGCGTCCGCACAAATATCAGTTGTGGCAGATAGTCACGCACGTAGCCTTTGTAGGGAGCGCGTGGACGCAGCCGCAAGGCGGCGTGCAGCAAACGCAGCTGCTCCAGGCTCAGCTCGTCCAAGGCTAGCAACAGGACATGGCAAACGCTGAGCAGGTGCATCGTAGTGGCCAGTGTCTGTAGATCTAAGTGGTCAGCGTCCTTGGACGTGGTGCCAGCCAGCATCGGCGCCGTATCCAGCAGCACAAACCGCTCCCGTGTGATGAAGAACTGCAGACTCTCGGTGCGTGGATTCAGCACCTGCTTGGAGCTGTTCGGCGACTGGTGCTGACGTTGGTGTTGGTGTTGGTGCTGATGTTGGCGGTGCGATTGGCTCTGCTGACTGGACCCATGTCGGGTGGAAAATATGCACTCGTCCGCTTCTGGAGCGAAAATATGCTGGTAGTAATCGTAGTCGTTAGCACGCTCGCTGGCCAGAAGATTGAGCAGCGTGGACTTGCCGACGCCCTGGGCGCCCAGCACGCCGATGACAGCGAAGTCCGTGTTGGTTTTGTGGAAGAACTTGTGTGCATTGGAATTAAAGACGCCGCTGGAGACGTACAGCGGCGCCGATCGTGTCATTTGGGTTGGCAACGATGAGTCCTGGCTGAAAGTGGGGGTGCCATTTGTCTTCTCTTTGGCCGCCGTTGAGCTGCTGCTCAGCGTAGAAGTGACATTGGTCGAAGGCGGATTGCAGCCTTGTTGCGCTGCATCGCTGCGATTAATGATGATCGTTCGAATGGATGTGGGAAGTTCGTTGTAGCTGCCACTGCTGCTGCTGCCCGGATTCGAATCGCCCTCCTTTTTCAATAAGATTTTCGTCAGGACGAGGGGCGTGCGCAAGTCCTCACGACGTGCAATCGTCACCGGCGTTGTTGTTGGAGGACCCTGACGTCCATCTTCCTATTAACAAATTAACAAGACAAGAAATTAACTTCAACAACTACTGAAACTTTCGATATACTCACGCGTTTTTTGTTGCGAAAGCGTCTGCGGTTCTCGGTCATGCCGCAAGCCCTAAACGTGCAGCACACAGTGGAGCAAAAATGTTGGATGCAGTGCAGCAAAGAGGAATCTGAATAACAATTGGAGCCTCGTATGTGCTCAGCTGTGCGTTTGTTTTTCTGAAATCCAGTACTGAGCAACACTGGAAATATATTGATATCGAAAGAACGATAGTTGCCGCTGCATTCAAAATGTTTGCACTAATAAAAATTATAAGACATAAAACAAACCAAATTTATTTTGTTAATAAAAAAAATTAATAAATAATACAACATTGGTATGTATACAAAAGACCATATTTGCAGGCACGCAGTAAATTTGCAATACAAATTGATATTTCGCCAAAACGATAAGCCGATTGCCATATCGATAATAGACAACAGCTTAATCGATGGCTGTCACACCATGTTCAGGCATTGCTCGACATTAGCAGGAGCAGGCATAAGTTGAATTTCAGAGAATGCAATAAATACAAGTTTCAATAATGCCAATTATTGTAATATCTGGCCTACCCGCAAGCGGCAAGTCGTCAAGAGCCCGCGAACTACAAAATTACTTTCTAAGCAGGAACAAAAAGGTCCATCTGATTAGTGAGAATGTGGCAGTGCCTAAAGCGCTCTTCGAGAAGAACGCATATTTTGCCGATTCGCAAAAGGAGAAGATCGTGCGCAGTGACCTTAAATCGGAAGCGTCCCGGCAGCTGAACAAGGAGGACCTTATCATACTCGATGCTTGCAACTATATTAAGGGTGAGCAGAGGACTTGCGTTTGACATTTGGCATTGGTCAACTGAATTGATATATTTTGTTGTATTTTTTGGCAGGCTATCGTTATGAGATATTCTGCATGACCAAGGCTGCTAGGACGACACAGTGCACCCTGTTCACGTGTATACCGAAGGAGCAGGCTTGGAGCTTCAATATACAGCGCACGGATCCGGATGTGCTGACTGATTCAGCCAACGAGCCTCTGTTGAACAACTCGAATATTCCGTATACCCGCGAGATTTTCGATGCGCTCTGCATGCGCTACGAGGAACCGCATGGCAACAACCGGTGGGACAGTCACTTGTTTGTGGTCTTACCAGAGGATATACTCAACTTTGAGAGCATCTACAAGTCGCTCTATGAGACACGCCCCTTGCCGCCAAATCAAAGCACACAAAACGTAAGCAGGCGAAATTTTATTTATTGATTACCTTTTGACTTCATTATATGTTTCAGGCGCCTTTGGGCGCAACGAACTACCTGTTCGAGGTGGATACTATATTGCAGCACATTATTCAGGAGATACTGGGTGCTGCCAAAGTTGGCGCATTTGGCCAACTGTGCATCCAGGGCAGCACAACCAAGGTTAAGGTATCAACGACTATGAATGCGATGCGGTTGAATCGATTGCGGCAGCAGTTTATTTCAAGTAGATGCAGGGGCAACCAGACGACACCGGCACCATTGGATCAGGTGCCGCAACTTTTTGTGCAGTTCATCAATGCCAATACAACTGGTTGTTAAATTATAAATAAATTATTTTAATAGTTTTTTTTTTAAATTTGGCGCATTTTATTTTATGTTAAACAGTGGCCACCCTCTGTGCTGACAGTGCCATTTTAAGTACACTTAACATTAAACGGGCAATACAGCTATCAGCCACATCAGTATTGTTCACAATTAAAGTTAGGTTAACTCTAACAACATGGCCGCCATACATTTTTTTGACACTTACATGATTAGACAAGCTTCAACATGCATTTATATTAACATTTGTCTTTATTTGACTTGATCGCTTAGCCATTAGTAGTCGATTTTCGATAACATGCCCAATTTGAGTTTAAAAGACCGTAAACAGTTCACATTGAGTATAACAGAAGTAAATCGATACTCGCGCTTAGGATCGCTGCAATTATCGATATTGCTGATGCTGCCATCGTTGGTCTATCACCCCTACTGTGGGATAACAGTTCATATTTGTAACATTCATTATTGAGAGCGGACGTGTTTTTTGTTTGCTGCACAGAAACAGAAGCAAAGCGTGCAAGGATATTTGAAACTCTCGTAATTTAAGTTAATATCTGTGCACTCGTCAACGGGATCAGCAGCAAAGTAAGCTACAAGTGTGCGATTGTGCTGTGCTCAGTAAATCAAATTGTATATGATTTATTTTTATTTTGTTTTTTTTTGTTTGTCATAGTTTAAATATTTGAATCAAAGTAGGCGGTGTTAAGCGTTTGTTATTAAACGTTTTTTTTTTTATAATTTTTCTAAAAAATAGTTCTTAAAAAAAAAAAAAAGTAAAAACAAACCAATTAAACACAGCATCAGTGCAATTTTGGTAGCGAATTGCTTTATTTTAAAAATATATATTTTCCTCGTTTTGTTTTTGTTGTTATTGTTGGTTTTGCATGCAATCAAATACTGAATTGGATTTGGAGTGCGTGTGTGTGTGAGCGTGTGAGGAGTGCGCGTGTTTTTGTAACTTTGGTACAAGCGCGCGAATTTCAAAGCGTTCAATGTCTATGTTCGTCTCTGTTTGGACCTCGGCGACAAACGCAAAATTTAGTTTCAAATAAGCGCGCACAAAACAAGCACACGAGGAACAATTCGAATCGGGTAAGGCTATACTAAAATCCCGCTGTTCTATACGATGTGTGTGAGTGAGTGAGTGAGTGTGTGTCTGTGTGTGTGTGTGTATGTGTGTATGACGAAGAGGACATGCATAAAATTGAAATGAAATCAACGACATAACAAAGTCTGCCTGCGTTTGTTCTGCTTGCGCAGCTACAAAATTACACAAAAACACACTCACACACACTTACACGCGACACACAAAGACAGCAACAGACATGTGATTTGAGCTGAAATACGACCACCACTAGACACTCGGCATACAAGCGCATATATATATATATATATATATATATATATAAGTAAAGAATACGATCGGGCAGCGACGACGACAACAAGCTTATCTCTAGCTGTTGCGGCGGCGAGAACGAAAACGAAGACGATAAAAGCAAAACAAACAACAACAACAGCAGTAGAAGCAGCAATCGGCTGTTTTGGAACTAAAAGAAACACACATATTAATATATACATATATATATATAGTACGCATATGTATGTATAAGAAGGGACAAAGCAAACGCGATGTATTTTAAAGTCTCTTCTACTCGTTAAACGCTTAACACATGTGCGTGAAAATCCTTTTTCCTTTTATTTTTGGTTACGGAAAGAGAGCAGCGTTCGTAAAAGTACACACATACGCACATACACATGCAGTGCACGTGTAGCTGTTTTGTTTTTTTTTTTTTTTTTTTTTTTGTGCCTGCCTGCTCCGCGAGTCGAACAAAATACTTACACACACACACATATGTTTACATACATACATGTATGTATGTACATATATACGATTCCGGAGTGTAGAATTCTTTCTAACGCGCTTCTTTTTTTTTTATTACTTTTCGTATCTCCTTCCTTTCAGCTTGTTGATTGAAATGCAACACGCGCAACGCAATACCAATTCCAACAACAACAAAAACGAACTGTAATTTAACTAGCAATTATCAAAATTTATAAGAAGCCATAAGTACAACAGAATTAATTAATAATCCAAAAATCATTACCAATCGTTTAACTAGTGCAACCAATACAACCAAATCAAAAACTAAAATTCTAAACGGAATATTGTTAAATTCATACAATTTTCAAACCAACAACAGTCAGCGAAAATATAAGAATTATAAATTTAAAGCAACACAGCAATATCAAGCGTCCAGCAAGTAATAACAACAAGAAGAGAACAAGAAGGAGAAGTCGAAGCAAAGATAAAGAATTTGTTTTTGCGTTGTCCAGTGAAATAAAAGAGAGGAGAGCGCACGCTGAAGTAGCAGGGAGAGTGAGAGAGAGAGAAGTGCTGAGTGGGAGAGTGAGTGAGCGAGCGAGCGGAACAACTGTAAACGGCTACGAAAATGTCTGCGACAATTGTGCAAAAATCAACTGGAACTGCAAATATCGGCAATGCACACTATTTCGAATGCGATGAAATATTCCAAGGGGTAAGTCTCCACAAATCTGTACACTCTACAAAGAAAACAATAGAACAGAACAAACGAAGAAATAAAAAAAAAACTGTTCAGGATTTTCACGCAAAACCCAATTTGTGCTCAATCGGAGCGTTTGTTGTTATTCTCTAATACACACACATATAGACATCCGTATACACTCATAAGAATTTGCAATTCATTTCCGTTCCGTTCCGTTACATATTTCACTTTTCCTTTTGCTTTATTTTTACGTGCATCTGTATTTGTTTATTATACGCTGATTCATAATTATTTAGGCCCAACTATTTTACATTTCAAATGCAAAAAATGCAAAAATGTAAAAAATTTTGATAAGACAGAGCGGAGTACATTTAGTTCGTGTTAGTAACTAAGTGAACAGGTGGCAATTTTCCAGTCTTCCAGTCCTGTCTCTGACTGTATAACACATTAAGCATTGCCGTCATCAGACAGCATCAGAAAAACACCCAAAAACAACAAAAAACAAAAGCTAATGATCAAATGTATGTATTTAAGTCTCTGCGACGTCGGCGCCGGCATCGACGCCAGCGCCAGTCATAGCAGCAGCAGCTGTTGTTATTATTTTGTTGGTCGCTGATCGACAACAAATTCGATTAAGTCCGTAAGTTCCGGGTTTGGATTTTCGTTTAGTGATTTTTATTTTTATTTCTTGCCTTTTGCTTTTAAGCTCAGAGGCTGAGCTCTGAACAAAAAAAAAAAAAAAAAAAAAAAAAAAAAAAAAAAAAACAACACCAACAACAAAAAGAGCTTCAAGTTTAAAGTTATTCGCCTCAACTCGATTGCGGTTACGTGCACAGTTGATACCATAAACAGGGCGAATTGGTGGTGAGCTTGAAGCGGGGGAGGGGGAGTTGTGCTAGCTTTTATTTTGCTGCGTACAAAAAGAAAAAAAAATATGTACATAAAAAAGAATCAAAAACAAATAAATAAGTAAAATAAAAACACGAGTGCAGTGCCGGACGGGTCAAGTAGAACTCAACTACATACATACATATGTACACATGTGAACAACAAGCACTCACACAGACATTTGTCACAGGTTGATGTCCGACAAAAGTTGCAAGTTCTTGTTTTTGTTTTTTGCTTTTCGTATGCGATTGGCCGAACTTTGCTAGCGCACGCAAGAATTATAGTTGGTGCTATCGATGATTGAGCGATTACCCGCGATTGCTATATATTGCAATTCCAATGGAAATTTATTTCGATTTCGGTTTTCATAATCGCAATCGCCTGGCACATTACGCAGCAGTTTTTTTTTTTTTTTGCTGCTGTTGTTGTATTGTTCAACTGCATCAGTCGGTAGAGGCAAGTGGGCAATAGCAGCAAATTGCTGCCGAAAGCGAAAGGGCGCAACTCACTCAAATATACACATATACATACACATGTATGCGCGCACACACTCACACACACATACACACACACACACACACACACACACACATAACTGAAACTGAGACTGCTGCAACAAGCGATCAGAGGTACTCCGGCTGCGTTTGTGCTTTTGTTTTTCTTTCGATCGCTGCTTCTGTTTGTTGCTTGGCCAGGCGACAAGTTTGTCAGCAACGATATCAACGAAATTCGCTTGAGCGGAGCAAGACAAACACGTTTTGCGGTAGTTTTCGTTACGTTACGGGCCAACAAAGATGCTTTGAAAAATGCATACATACATATGTTGTTATAATGTATGCCCATATGTATGTTGCTTAACGCCATACAATGGACTAACAATATACATATGTATGTATGATTATAAGTATTTGTTGGTGATTTGCTATAAGTTTTTGTAATTAAGTGATTGACTTGGAATTGAGGTTATGCTGAAAATGTTTAACCTAGTTTGCAGTTAAAGGGCATCTACTAGTTCGACAATTTTTACTTCTTTTTCCATTTGCATATTGAGGTTGTGTTTTTGTCTGTGCGCAGAAAACGCGTTTACTTCTTTCTATTTTATTTTACTTTTTTAAAATATTTTTCTTCGTCAGGTGGATGAAGCTGCTGCTCAACTGAAATTCACTTTTTCGCATAACTTTTGATTTCGTCGTCGTTGTCTCGTTGTTGTTACTTTTATTATGAAATTTATATGCACGGCTCTATGTTGTTGTTGTTGGCTGGCTGCCTGCTTGCTTGGCTGGTTAATTTGTTTTTGTTTTTGTTGCTGCCGTTTGCGCCCAAAAGCAAAAATGCTTAGTTTGTTATATCAAACTCCTCAGCGCTTCGTAATCATATTACGTTTCATTTCCACATACATTCACACTCACACAAGCACAGGGCAAGCAGGGACGAAACTAAATGCAATGAAATGGGATGGGATGGGACGAGACGAAACGAGACGGGGCACTCAGCTAGCTTGTCAGTTAGTCAGTCCATGCAGCGACCACTTTTTACGAATATAATTCCATTTCCTGCCAAGGCGATAACAAACGCCGTCGCGGCCGCTGCACTGTCGACACACACACATACACACATGTATGCACAGCATACAGTATGTATATGTATGCAGGCATAAACTAAAAATATGTGTGTTTTGTATGTCCCGGCGTCGTCGCCATTGCTGGTAGAGAGGCGACTACCTACCTAAGCAGATGAAGAAGCAGCAGCGGCAGCAACAGCAACAGAATAAGAGGAGGCGAAGGGCATTTTCAGCCTGGAACGTCAATTTATTTCATGCGCTGCGATTGAATACGGTTCGATTAATATGCAGGTCCAGACCTCAGTTCAAGTTGCGTGTGTGTGTGTTGGAGTTGGGCTCACCCGCACACACACACACAGACGCGCATTCGCACACAACAGATCACAGGCGCAGCAACATGTTGCCAAAGTTGCCGCCATATGCAAGTTGCCGAATGTGCAAGCTCTGAGTGAATATGCATACATATGTATGTATGTACATTATTTGTACACATGTGTGTGTGCGTGTTATTTTTTTCTGTTGTATTTCGCTGTTTTGTGTTTGAATGCAAGTTAAACAGAAATACAAATTATAAATAAATTATTTGCGTGCCAGCTACTGACGTTTGCTGCTTATTATTATTATCGTTGTTCAAGTTGTAAAATAAAATAAAAATAAAAAATATAATAAATGAACGGGCAAACGAGCTGAGCGAAATAAATAAATAAATACATGCATACATATGTATGAGCTTGTACGGGTGTGTATGTGTGTATCAATGCTGTGTGTGTGTATCAATACTGTGAACGTCTCTGCTTTTGTCTGCCTGTCTGTCCGTCAGCCAGTGTTGCTGAGTGAGTGTGTGCACTCGTGCGATGTCGTCGCTCATCGTTCGCTATCTCCCACACCAGCAGCAGCAGCAGCAACAACTAAAACAGCTACATATGTATGTATGAGCTCCAGTTGCCTTCTCGCTCACACGCTCTCATGCCGCGCTTATTGAGCGAGAGGAGCCAAGCAAGCGCCTGCTGGCCTGCCATCCATCCATCTATCCACTTCATATTCTATTGTCATTGCCTGTTGCCGTTATTGTTGTTGTTGCTATTGCTGTTATTGTAATCTTAAAAATTGTCTTCATATGCGCTTCACGATGATCATGTTGTAGTTGTTGCCTTGCTAATGGCCGCTCAATTGAGTGCCAAAGTACATACATACATACATACATACAAACGTATGAGCATGCATGTACATATATGCGCATGCGTGTATGTGTGCGTGTCTCTGTTATTTCTTGCGGTGGGGTCGCCGCGGTTTGTTGGGCGCCTTCAGGGACGGACAGACATGGATGGAGAGAGAAGGAGGGGGCCTACGAAAATTGATCGAATCTTTAGCTTAAATGTCATTAACTTGCAAATACTTTGTGGGGGTCAAGCGTTAATGTACGACTACTTTACATACAAAACAAACCGTTTACCGTATTATGCATGCATATGTTTATGTTGTGAGTCGCCCTCTCTCTCTTTAGCTAGTCCCAGTAATCGCTGAGGTTAAGGTTAACTACGGGTTGATTACTTTGGCAATACATTTAAATTAATCTAGAGCTGAACGCAATTGCATTGAAAAATAAATAATAATAAAAGCCGTATACAACAAAAATCGAAATCAATATAATGTATGTAAATGTAAAACTTTAAAAAGCTTTGCCAAGCCTTGCTTTAGTTGCGTCTGTTGCCTTCAACATAACCTCAAATGAAACTGAGTTAACCTCAAAATTAAGTTGTATTGGTTTGTTTTTATTAAACTAAATATTAAAGTTGAGCTGTAAGCAAAGTTTCAAATTAGCATGCTTTGCTTGTATATCTGTACATATGAATAATATATAACGTATATTTATTCAGTTGGATTTGATGAAATTGTTTTTAAACAACGTTTGTCTCTGTTTGGGTAATATGAAAATTGAAATTTAATTTTTGTGAAAGCAGAGTATATGATTTAAATACATACATACATACATGTGATGTTTCTATGTATGTATCAATGAATCATTTAGTACTCACATATACATGTACGTATGTATGTATGCAGGTACATGTTAGATATACATACATATGAACTGTATATGATGTTAATATCTCCATCAATCACTCAGTCAGCATCTAGTCAATCAGCTACCAAAATATTGTTTTATATAGGGCTTTTTTTTTTTTAAATATACATATGGACATACGTGTATACATGTATGCATCGTGGCCCCCGTGCTTAAAAATGTGACCCGGTTTGTATTGTGTGACGCTGTTTATACAGTTTTTTTTTTATTATTAATTTTTTTAGGGTTTTTTTCCGCTGCAATTATGAATTATCATTACAATATGCGAGTATTTATTATGATTATTATTAACGTTTTTTTTCCCTCTGTTGAGGAAAATGTTTTCGAATTAAATGCGGGCTGCACACAATGTTCCGCAAGGGGTGGGGGTGGCGGTGGCGGGGGTTGAATTGTCAGACCCTAAAACCCAGGCAATATATTTATTTTATTTTTGCTTGCAACATCATTTTTTTATTTTATTTTTTTTGTATTTATTTT